ATGGGGTCAGGAGCGGCACAGGCAGGAGTCAGTAGAGGTCAGGGAGAGGAGATGGGGAGCGAGGTTTGTAGAAGGTCGGTGCCTGCTGGTCATACAGCTCACGGTGAAGGAAGGAGGTTTCAGGCAGATATCACTGGGGTCCCAGTAGGAAAACAGTGTCTTCCTCCAAGAATCAGAATGGGGCTAAAGTGAAGACAAGACACCAGGGTGGGGGACATTAGCTAGTGCTGGCCATGGTGCCAAGGCTGTGTGCAGGTTACTGAGCCTGGACTAATGGTGGGAGTCTTGACGTAGAAGTAACTCTTCCCCATTCCCAAAGCCCCGTGGGGCGGGGTGGGGACATGTATCCCAGTCTCAGGAAGAGAGATCTGCGGGCACACAGGCTGGGCCTCTGGCCTGTGCAAAACAAACCTCAGCTTCTTGGCCCTGGGTGGTAATGGCTGCTAGGGAATCTGGGACCCTTGCGGAAAGATAAAGACTTGGATAACCCTATTGTCCCTATTCCCCAACTCCTATCCTCTTTTCTGCACCTTCCCCACCCTAGCCCTTCTTAGAAACCTTCCCGGTTTCCAGCATGCATTGCCCCTTCAAATAACAAGAGCTTCTCACCAGGCCCCTGACCTCCCGGCTTGTTCTGTGGTCTTCTCCGGACATGGAAGACCATCTCCCTAAGGGGCATGGTGACTGGGGGAGAGCAGTGGGACGGACCCGCCACCTGCCCTAGGCCTGGCCCCAGCCCCATCCACACCTGCTCAGGGCTCAGGGCTCCAGGGCCTGGTGGGAGGCAGCTGTGCTCCAGCTAGCCGGCATGTTTTGTTAAAGAGAATACAGCTGCTGCTCTACTTCAGTGGATGGGACCCAAGATAGCTGCATGCCCTGGAAAGCACCAGTGGTGCTGCTGGGCCAGAGGAGCTTGGCCACCTCTGCCCCCAGCCTTGGACAACCAAGGCAACCCACACCAAAGCAGCTCCTACGCACGCCTGTCTGGGGAAGTACGGACTTGGAGAAGAGCGAGTCACTCGGCTCAGGACACTGACTTAGTTCCTCTACGCCCTGCCGCCCCAGCATCAAGGAACCTTGGATCCAAGGTACCCACGAGGCCCCAAGCAACATCATGCACCTGTCCACCCTCACTTGAACTTCCAGGACTGCTCTGCACATCCGTTCACTAGGCCTGAGGACCTGCGTGGCTGAACCAGGATATGCCCACAAGTCCACCACCCAGAGGCCTCCTCTCCATCATCCCTGGCCTGGTGTGAGCTAGCAGCTAGCTGGTGTAGGCCAGTGGAAAGCAGCAGAGAAGCTGTCAGCACCCACCCCTTCAGGGTGACTGGCCTGCCTCCCCACCCCCAGCCCCTGCTCAGCCCGTTCCAGCCTGGCCACCAGACAATGAGGAGAAACAGGAGAGGGGCTGAGATCAGCACAGCCAGCCCCGGGCCTGGCCACCCACTCCTCCACCCCTGGCAGCACTGAGCCCCATCATCAGGCACTAATTAAATCCCCCTAATGAGGAAATAAGGATGCAGGAGCTAGCTCCACCATGGCCTCCCCGGCCCACCGCCCTCGCCTCTCCATTGGACTTATCGCTCGTCACAGGATGTTTACAATAATTTTTAATTTGTGCAATTATTAATCACTTTTCTATCTGCCTAATTTGCATAATAATTAGTCATCTCACTGTTTGGCATGCCTGTGAATGACAGTGTTTTAAATTGAATTAAGATTTTAATATTCTGTTTTCCTGCTTTCTTCCCCCTCCACACGCTAATCAAAGTCAGATTTGGCAGCCAGAGGGAGGGCGGGGAGGAGGCTGGCAGGCACTGGACTTGGCCCACTCTGTGCTCCTGAGAGCTGTCTCCCAGAGGAGGGCCTGTCTGGAGAAGGCAACGGCAACCACCCCTCACCCCAAACGCGGCACTTGAAGGGTTAACCCAGGCTTGCCTAACCAGTAGAGGTAATGAGTGAGGAGTGGGCAAAGGCACCGCAGAGGGAGGGGTCATACTGGCCCAGAGGCGCCAGAGATCAAAAAAGCACTTTCACTTTTTTTTTTTCCCCCAAACAGCCTGCTTTTTGCAAGGGGACATCAGAAAGCACATCACAGGCCAGTAATTGATCCCCGGTTACTAGTCTAGGTTAACTTTGATGGCTCGGGGTCCCCCAGGTAGAAAAGCACGCTGCAGCAGTCTAAAACCCATTGCCACTCTTCAGATGGATGGAGAAAACACATCTCTGCAGCTGAGTTTGGTCCCCCCACTCCCCTCTAGGGCCACCGCTGCTCCACAAGCCGGCAGACCCTCTGCCCAGGCTCAGTGGGGCACTTTGCAGACTGTGCCAGGGAGTGTTGGGTTTTGACTGACCAGAGGCAACAAGCAGGGGCACACTGTCCTCTGTCAGGAGGCTTTGGTGGGTTTCTTTCTCTCCTTCTTACCCTCTAGCCCCTCTCTGACCACCCCAGGAATTCAGCTCCAACCCCGCCTCCCCACCACTATCAGCTTGTTGCCATGGTAATCCCGAGGCTGCCCTGGATACCCACTGCTGCTCCAGAATTCTCTGCTTAGGCAGGCAGCGCACCCCGCAGCCTGCTAAGAACACCTCCCCTTTGCTATCGCTGCAGACAAAGGGCGAGGAGCTGGGACATGATCACCTACACATGGTCTGCAAAGTCAGACCCTGGTCTCTCCCTCCAGGTGAGTAGGGAGAGAAGACGGGGTGGGGCGGGGGGCAAACTTCACACAGCAACCGAGACCTCCCCCAGGCCAGAATAGGAGGAAGGGCCCCGTCCTACCACGGAAATCCCTTCCTCCCACAAGGAGCAGGGCCTCCCAACTCTGCCCTTAGGGGCCAAGGGAGGGAAGTCCCCTGGATGGGAAAGAGGGAAGTGGGGTATTGCTGCCAGATTTAGAGCTGGGTGAGAGGAGGGAGGGCTACCAGTTTCCAGGGGAGCCCTTCTCCTTCACAGGACTCCACGGCTGGTCTGCATTCCCCACCTGCAGGTCAGTCAGCACGGTCCGGCAGAGAAGTTCCAGGCATCCCTGGGGCCTCCTCTGGCACAGGGTATCTGTGGGCCCTCCAGTCAAGTGCTAATCCACCTAGGATGGCACCAGCCTCCGGGGCTGGTAGTACCAGGAACCACTTGCCTAGTCTTTGCCTGAAGGGGCAGGATAAAAGTTGCCAGGGTTCAGGGGAGGTGCACTCCAACCCAGGAATTACAGGGAGAAACCGGGCCTCAGGGCTTTGGGCTGTGTCCTCAACCCCAGCTAGAGGGTGCACACAGCCCCCTTAGCATGTTGTAAAGCAGGCTCTGACGAGCCAGACTTGACACTCTGCTACACTGTCACTCAGGGGACCCCAGCCCTTACCACACCCAGCTTTACCCACCACAGCCAGCTCTCTGCTTCCCCACAGCCCCTGAGCGGCCAAGGGAGCCCCGAAGACAGTGAGGCCTGCACATATAGCCAGTGCCACAGCAGCCTCTGCTGGCCACCCTCGCCTCCCACACCCGACCTCGGGATGAAAAGAAGGCAGCAGCCCCTCAGATGCAGGCCCGCTGTGAGTTCCAATCATGGACCTGGGAGAGACCTGGTTTACCCCTGCTGTCTCAGCATAATTATCAAAAGCGCACACACCATTCACTCAAAAAGTGTCCTGGTTTGGAGGATAAACTATCACAACCAAGTTCAGGGTCCCAGAGAGCCCGGGGAGAAGGTGGAAAAACTCCAAGCACGGAGACAAGCAATCTTCTCTCCACCCCCACCCAGAGTTACTCTCTTCTAGGCAACACAGGAGGAAGCTCAGAGTCCCTGCCCTGGGCCAGAGCAGACGTGTCTTGACAGTCCTGCCTGGGGAGAGGGGGAAAGTAGCTCCTTCCCACTGGAGGAAATACTAGACAGGAACCCAAAGGAACCCAAAGAAGATAGAAGAAAACTCAGCAAAAGGGTAGGAAGCCTGAGGGAGTAAAGTGCTATCTCTACATGTGTCCAGCAGGTGGCAACACAGAGCAGTCTGCATCCACCCAATCCCCGTGGCAGCAGAGAAGCCCTATCCAGCTGGTTGCCTTGTCTGGCTCTGGCACGTGGCCTCTGTCCTTCTGCAAAGCCTCTCTCTCCCCTTCACTAGACTCTACACCCGCTTTTCCCCAGCTGACTCCCTAGCCTGAACCGCAAAAATCAACAAATTAACACACTACGCGCACGCACACCCCACCCTTAACCTAAGAGAGGAAGAAGAGAATTCAGAGCCCAAACTAGGGGCTGCGGGACTCCTGGATCCCTTCGTCTCGTGCTGCTGCCTGGTTGATGCAAGGCTCTTAGGGGACCCCTTCTACCAAATGGGTAGAGATACCTGAGAACAGAGGTATAGAGACCACTGTGTTTCTTTGTGGGATGGGAATGGAGTCATAGAAATCGGGGAATTTCTATACGTTCTGTCATTTGGAGAAGTTGATGCAAATTGGCTGCAAAGTAATACATAAATGCACAGGACCTACATCAGGAACCAACAGTGGTGGCATTATGGGGACTCAGCAGTAACTACTCCACAGAGCCTTGTGAGACTAGTGGGAAGAGAAACCGACTGGTGCACAGGGGTTTTCCTGCACTGCCTTCCCACTCCTGGGCACCCCACCATCCCCCCCCACCATGAAGCACATGGCCAGACCCTGGTGGAGGCAGAGGACAGTGTGTCCTGCACTGAAGTGGCTCATGTCTGGTTGGTTGGCCCTTGGGCCTCAGTCCCACACCTCCACCATTTCCCCTCCAGCCTAAGACTCTCCCAGCATGTAGCTGAGGCCAAACTGGGATTTTTATCCCCCTTTTCCCCATGCAGGAGAGGATTATTGTGAAAAGAAAAAATAAGAATCACAAAATCCTTACAAAGATTTCAAAAAATGCCCTACCTCCACTTGCACATCGCTTGCTGAGTTCTGGAAGTTCACATTTGCCTGGGTCTCACCTGCAATGGAACCTCAACCTAGCATTTAGTTGAATTCAGCAAATACTTACCGTGTCTCCTACAGGGCAGGCTTCGTGTTGGATGCTGGAGACTGTGGTCTCCGCCTTTAGTAAGCTCTAAGTCAGGCCAGGGGAGCAAAACCACATTCACTGTAATATAAAGAGATTTATACTACAGTCAGGTATGAACAAGTATTATGGGAGCGAGCCCAAAGAGGAGGCATTTCATTCTGCCAATCTGCCTGTAGCGAGGAAGCCAGGGAAAACCCCACAAAGGAAATGACATCTGAGTTGGGCCCTGAAGGTTCTGCTAGGGGAAGGAGGAACAGGGCAGAAGCAGCAGCTTGGAAAAGCAGAGAGGCCTGAACCAGTGGCATCTGACTAAGGGGAGTGAGAAGTCCAGAGAGTCCACAGGGAAGGGGCCCACAGGTCAGGGCGCAAGGGACCTTGACAGAACGCTGAGGATACTGGACACAACCTGCAGGCAAGGGTTTCGTCCTGTCGGCCTCCCACGTGGCCCTGGAGGACGTTCCTGTCCTCGGTCTCACTGGGATAATCATGCTTCCCACACCCTGTCCCCACAAAAGCCACGGACTCTCTGTCACTGGGCCTGGGTTAGCTGGCAGAACCATTCCATGAATATCTGACAGGATGTCCATGTGCTAATTAGGCATTTACCTCATGCTGCAGACATGACAATCAGTTAGCCCAGCCCAGAGCACCTACTGTGGTCCGTTCTTACCCAGAGCAACCCCTCAAGACTCATTCATTCATTCATTTGGACAGAGAGCATAGGCTTTGGTAGCTCTGTGGTCTTTAGCCTTAGTTTCCTCATCTGCGAAATGGAAATATTAGCGTCAAATTTATTGGGTTTTTATGAGATTAATGTATAGAGAGGCCTGGCCCATAGTAGCCTAAATAAATGAAAGCTATTATTAGTTCTGAGGTGTAACACCTCGGCCTACAAGCTGGAGATTTGAAAGTGAATAAGAGACCTGAATAAGAAAATAATAATCAGAAAATGAGTAAGAGTCCTGGCCATAGGAGCTTACAACCCACAAAACAGTATGCTGAATGTTGGGTACAAAGTACCATGGAAACTCAGAGAAAGGCTGAATAAGCGAGCAGACTCTACCCTGGAAGAAGTAGAACGAGTCTGCATTCTGAGTTCCGAAGCAGAACTGGGAAGACAGGCCCTTCCAGTCCCTGCCCCATAACCTGGGGATCCCCCAGCACCTCGGGTGGTTGCTTGAGTTTGCCTTTGTCAACACTTTCTCTTTAGTCCACATCAAAAGACTCCCCAAAAGACTCAGAAGTTAACTCCTCTCCAGCATGAGGCCATGTTGGCTGGGCTAGTCTGAGCGTCAGGAGAAGAAATGGGCCCCAATAACCCTCATTCCAGCCTCCTCTCCTGCACCAAGCAAAACCAGGACAAGGACCACCATCCTACCACTTTGCATGCTGAGAAAGCGTAGCAGAACAAGAAAGTGGGATTTCTCTTGGAGACTGAAGGTAATCACATTGAGTGCAAACACCAACGGCATACGTGGAGATGGGGGCAACATGGCCCCATCCCCTCTCTCATAATATGTGTAAAGGAGCTGTGGGAACTGCTGACAGTAGTGAGCTCAGTGGTAATCAATGGTGGGATGTGGTCACCGTGAAAGCTAATTCGGTCTTAAACACACTGATTGCAATGCAACACTGATGACATTGATTATCAAATAACATTGATTACAATATAACCCGATCTACATGGAGGGAAGTGACAGTCCTACTGTACTCTGATCAGAATATCCTGAGCCTCAGGACTCACACCAGCTGCTGTACTTTAAAACAGACGGCAACAAACTGGAGTGAGTTCAGAGAAGAAAATATGGGACTCAAAATCATCCATTATAAGGATGGTCGAAGGAACTGGAAAAGAGTCAGATAGGCCCAGCAGCTTTCTTCTAATGTCAACATAACTGTGACATTACTTCCTAATCACACAGGAGGTGCCACATTAAGGGGAAAGAGTCTTACTGTCAGCCACTCCAGCACGATGAATCCCAGAGATTGTTCCCTGGGTCCCTGCCTCACGTTCGTGTGGTACAGCCCAACCCACACAGTGCCTGCAGGACGACAGTGTTCAGGAATAGTTCCTCTAACCCATTCGGTTTCCCCTGATCTTTATTTATGACTCTGGGACCCACCTTGAGACCACCCTTCAAGGTTAACTTGAACAGGTCTCCAGACCCCTTCAGCTGACCCCCTTGATCCTCTCCTACAGTCCTTCATCCTTTTCCTCCCACCTCTTCCTCTCCTGTCAGCCTCTAGCTGGGCTGTCATGCTTGGTTCTGCTGCTGGATTGGGTGTGGAGGGGAGGGAAGAGGCCCTATGTGAAGCATCTATAAATACAATTAAACTATGTATGAAGATTAATTTCCTACTACCTGATTATGCACAGATCGACTTGCTTCCTTTCTTATACAAGTTTCAATACATAGCTCTCCTCCTATTACCTTAACCTTATGGCTCCTGGGAGGGAAGCAGGTAGGGCATGGGAAGAAAAATGTGTCCCAACACATCTAAAGTGTTGTCAGGTAGAGAAGGGTTATTAGTCTGTTTTTGTAAGCCCCAAGATGAATAACTCAAATGGTGAAGCCACAGGAAGTACAACTGAAAGGAGCTGGAGTTGCCCAAGAATGGAATACATTCTGTCCCAGGAGGTGGTGAGAGGACACAAAGTGTTTAAACATGGGTGTGAGTGGCTCTTCCCAGAAATACAATTTGCCTTTGAACTCCAGTACTGGAGTGGGTGTGAGGATTAGATTTCTTTATGACACTTTCTAACTCTGATTCTAGGATTAAGATAATTAGCACTGCATCTCCATGGGACCAGAAGTTGGGACAGCAGTTGAGCTAATAAGTTGATGGAAAATACTTTTAAATTAATTGGTGTGGGGAAAGTGTAGTGTAGAGAAGTCCTTTAAGGTATCTTCCAACTCTGAGATTCCTATTTTGTGATTACAGGTTGTGAAAGAGTGTCAGCCACTGGCAAATCTATACAGCTGACAAGACGCCAGTCAGCCTTCTGTCTCAAGACGACAGCTGGCGTGTGGGTGTATGTGTGCACGCGCACACTGGGTGGAGATGGGGGCGGGAAAGGACAGGCATCGGAAGGCCAGAGCTTGGGCTCACACACACACAGCGGAGATCCAGAGCTGGACTTGAGGCTGGCGGCAGACACAAGGCCTGAGCAGGCCCATGCCCACCCCCTCCCGAGCTGCAGCCGCAGCGTCTGTTGTTAGGGACACAGCGGCCTCTGCCTCCTCTAAGTCACAGCACTCTAAGCCATCAGAGCTCAGAACCAACACCAATATGCCAAAGCACAGGCACTCAGGAGCGGGGGACAGAGGACAGGGCCGGGCAGAGAAGCTAGTGCCAACGTGGCCCAGAAAGCCAATGTGCCGAAGTGCCCACCTGCAGCCCCTCTGCGGGCTCTGTGACTGTGGATGAGTATCCAGTCACCCCTCTCCCACGACTGCCACCCACTCCCCTACCTGTCCTCAAAGGTCCTGCTCTCTGCTCTGTCCTCCAATGCAGGGCTGACAAGAAGAGGACACAGGACACTTCCTGTCTTGGGTACTACTCTGGCTCAGGGCTCACCCGGACCTCGATGGTTCGCAGGCAGTCCTCCCACAGAGTTCTCATTACCCGCTCCCCACTGTAACTGCAGCCTCTCAGTATCAACCAGAGGTTAAATGGCCCTTTGGCAGCCCCTTTCTCCATCCTAAGGACACCACATACCCTACCCTGCCTTGTCCATCTTACACTGGCCGGTCAAAAATGTTCATTATTCACCAGTCAAAAAGGTGCTTCTAAAAGGGCAGCAGCACCCCCTCTCCCAATCTGCCACCCTTGAAACTCAAATGCTGTGTCTGCGTGGCCAATGCAGAGACCACCTTCCTCTCTCTCTGAGGAACTGGAGGGGCTTCCACAGGTCCCGAGGGGTGTATCCTTCCTCGCAGCTTCAGAAGTAGGGAGGGAACAAAATCCATGACTCTAATCCTCCTGCGCTCCTAGACTACTCTTTCCTCTGCCCCTTAGGAAACACAGACACCACAGCAAACGCGCCAAGCCCTGGAGCAGGGTAGCCGCCTATCTGGAGCTCCGCCCACCTTTCAGTGAGTCCACCACTACCCATCCTCCTTGTAAGCCACCCCTCCGCCAGCCAGCACTACTCTCAAAGCCAAAAAATACCCCAAAAACAAAAAGAGAGCTGAAATACTCATTGAGAAGAACTGCTTTTGAAATGCCATATGGCCTTACCTACAGAGAAAGCCCCCCCACCAGTTCTTACTGATCCAACCACAAATAAACTAAATCTGGGTCCTGTCTGGACATACCATCAGCAGCAGTGGCCCACTTCTCCCCTTAGTCGGGTAATGGGTGAGGGAAGGCTGCCTGGAGGTAGATGGGGAAGAATCACTGGACTAGGCCAATCACGACTCCTCCCCCTGCTCTAGACACCCCCTCTCCTGGGGACAGAAGACCCCATCCACTTCAATACCCTTCTTCAAATGGCACAGCCCTCAATCCCACCCAGCAAGAGATGCTGGCTCACCAAACCCAGCCAAGGAAAAGCCATCCTGCTGTTCAGGTAAAGTCAAGAGTGCGGTAAGAGTGGAGTCAACAGGGGCACATGCCACTGATGCAGCAGGCACCACTCGAAATATCTTAATAATACCATTTTAAGAGAAGATACTGATATTTTATTAAGCACCTACTGCATGCCAGGCACTATGCTACTTTATTTCAAATCCTCTCAAATAAGGAAATTATGGCTCAGATAATTTTTTTTTTTTTTTTTTTTTTTTTTTGTGGTATGCCGGCCTCTCACTGTTGTGGCCTCTCCCACTGCAGAGCACAGGCTCCGGACGCGCAGGCTCAGCGGCCACGGCTCACGGGCCCAGCCGCTCCACAGCATGTGGGATCTTCCTGGACTGGGGCACGAACCCATGTCCCCTGCATCGCCAGGCGGCCTCTCAACCATTGCGCCACCAGGGAAGCCCATGGCTTAGAGAATTTAAGTAACTTGCTAGATGGTAGCACCTGCCTAGTTTGTTGACCTCTCTAGGAGGCTGGTTCCCACCAATTTCCACTATTGATGAGGGGAAGATACGAAGGACCCCTCTGAACAAAGAGGTGGAAGTGAACTTCCCGTGATGGGCAAGCAGCAGTAGGGGATTGCTTTGCAGGAGTCAGAAGCCCAGGAGGAAATAGCCCCAGGAGATGGTAAATACTGCCTGAAGCCCCTTCCCAAGGCTCCACTCCAGACACAACATCTAGGCTACTTCGGCCAGCCCAGCAAGTCTCCATGGATTCACTTCAGTACAACCTATGAAGAATGTTACAAGCCCTGAATTTACCATGGAGAGAAACCCTCCCATTCAGGTGAGACTTAGCCTGGAGGGGTGCAGGGTAATAGGGAATAGAGGAGTGGCACTCTGCACAAAGCAGAAACTGACCCCTCTGTTCCCAACCTACCCAATTCCCCCTACCCAAGGGCACTCCCGTCCCCGAGGCGGATCCCAGGCTTGGGAACCACCAACCCAGGAGAATACAATAAGCAGCAAGTACCCCAGCCCTCTCCCTTCAAGAGCCTTGCAGGCAATATTTGGCTCCATGGTTAGCCAGGACCCCTCTGGGAGGGCACCATACCCACTACCCCAACCCAGCCTATGTTTCTCCTTCCTGTTTGGGCTGGACAAGCAGGCAGCCCTGCAGTCCAGGCTTTCAAAGCTCAGGTGATCCAAAAGGGGCTGGAAGGCCACTCTGGGATTCCACACTAATGACTCTCTATTTCTGGTCTTGGGGAGACAACTCTGAAGGTCAGAGGTGTAGAGGAGGCAATGCGGATATATTTGGGATCTGCTATTCCCATTATTAAAGGCTCAGTCAAGTTGAGCCGGCTGTGCAGGAGGTCCAGCCTGCTGGGGTCCAGATTCCCACCTTTAATCTCATGCCTCTCCCACACAGAGGACACCCTCTGCACACTTTCTCACTCCCCTTAGGTGACTACTACATGACCATCACTCATCAGATTTCCTTCCAGAACCCTCCTCTTGGTCAGTCGATGTTCCCAGTTCACATTCAGGGCAGAAAAATTGCACTAATAATGCATCCAGTCTACATGGAGTATATCAACCAGTATCAGAGTGACTTCCAAGCCCCAGGATGGAATCAAGTCCTCAAACTTGACCGAGACAAGAGCAGCCAGGGGATCAAGAGAGTAACCAGAACTGTGGGCAACCTACTGTAAGTTTGCTGTAGGGGGAAGGGCCAGAGGAGGGCTCTACTTCCCAAGACAAAGGTAATAACTTCAGACTGTCTTCTGTCCAACTGAGAGACAAAGCTGGAGAAGGCAACAGAGCAAAGGACTAATTGTTTGACAATCTTGGATCTCTATCTAGTTCAGACTAACTTAGTCCTCTCATCTCACATACGTTTTGAGCAAGGACAAACTGCATGCTGTTCATAACGGGGCGGGGGGGCGGGGGTCAGCTCTTGCCCTACGCATCCTGGGAGACGTGAACTCTAACTGCAAGCCAGGAGGTAGAGTAGCCAGGCTTATCCAGTACCCATGAAACTATAGAGAATCAGACAACCCACTTGCCCAACCTTGTCTTAGCTTCTCCCCTATTAAAGCCTGCTTCCTTGGGGCTTGGAATGGCCCTCTACATACCTCTAACTCATCCGTGAACATTAGAAGGCCCAGCTCCAACCCAAAGTCAGTAATATGTGCACAATGTTACACAAGTGTTACAGAAACAGCCATCCTATTCCAAGGTGGTAGATGAAAAGATAATCTTCACCCCGAAGTGACCAGGAACACTAACCTAGCAATGAAACGGTTCCTCTCCCTGCCCCCTCAGCAAACACACGTCCAAGCTCCTGTTTCCCAAGACCACATTTTCTAATGTAGCCTCAAGCTGCCTAACAGGGTGATTTAGAAAGTGTCTCCATTGCCCTATCCTTCGGCTGCAGGTGTCACATCCTCTCTGCCGGGTCTTAGTATGATAACCGGGGAGTGTGAAAAGAAACGGAGATAAAATAAATTAAATTTTTGTTTTCAGAGAAGAAATAAATTTTCATTTGAAATTACCTGAAAATACACTGTACAGTTTAGGCAGGCACACAAATGACAGGCAAAGAAAGCATGCAGAGGCCCGGTGCCCTTCTATTTGGCATCCCTGGACTGGTTCATAGATATGGATTCTGACCTATAGAAATACTTTTACCCCACGCAGCAACTACAACCAGACCGTGTGGAAGGTCACCGCTCCTGGCTGGCAGACCACTACGCATCAACATCAGAAGCTGAGCTGGCCGAAGCAGGAGATGCCTTCCTGCGTGGGAAGAGTGCTGCCAAGTCTAATAGAGACACAGTGACCAGGGTGAAGTGCCTGAGCTCTCTGCCAAAGGGGGTCACGTAAAGATCCCAGCTACCCCTCATCCCAAGAGGGGGTGCAGAGAACAAGAAAAAGAGTTTACCCGGCCAGGATACCCCAACGCCACTTTTCTTGGGAAATCCAGAAATTTGGCCCTCCCAAATCTGCAGCCACTTACAGACTCTGATCTCTCCCTGACCACAGAGGTGAGGTATGTATGCAGTTAACACATGCTTGACACGTGGTAAGTACTTAACAAAAGATAGCCATTAAAATCATCAGCATTATTTTATTATCATTATTTCCCCAGACATGCATTCCTCTCTTCCCAGATATCTTATCTGCTACCTCCCCAATCCCTGGAAGAAAGGGTCAAGGCTAAGTACCCCTCTAGTACATTCAGGGTCTTCACAGCCAAGCTCCAAGCTGAAACTGCCAGCAAGCAATTCTTCCAGGACTGTGGAACTCAGCCCCGAGTATGCCGTGGAGACCCTCATCACAGAGGCTATGAGAAGGCCCTGGTAAGTACTCCTTCCTGTGGGTAGGACACCACCCCCTGGACTCTCCCTTCGCCTCTTACCTGGCTATTAGGGTGAGGATGGATGGGGGGAGAACTGCAGAGAGAGGAGTGTGATGTTTAAATCCTGGCTCTTTTCTCTTGCACAGAGCGATTCTGAGCAAGTTACCCTCTCTTGCCAAAAGAAAAAGAAAACAGGCCCTGCTTACTAAGCACTAGACATTGTTTTACCCGTGACTCCTTGTAATTCCTGAGCTGACAGAGGGTGCTGAACGTAACACGCAGGAAGAGGAAGACTGATTCCTTTTTCAGCTGACTGCTCTCTGCCCCCTCCCAAGGGTAGGGGTTCGCAGGCACCAAATGAGAATCAAACTACCACCAGGACCTCCTACATGCCCTTGTTTTCTGAAAGGGTGAACCTGTGTAAGCCCAAGGTCAACAGCATCGAGTGTGAGGCAAACACACTTTCTCTACTGAGCAGAGGAAAATATTCAGGTACAAAGGAGAGAATGAGTCATTACCAGATACAGTAATGTTGTCTGCATATGGCAAAAAAGGCCAGCGTCCTGGGGGAATCATGACTCGGCTGCAGCATGGCCCTATAATCTCTCTACCTACTTTTACAGGCCAGTCCAGCTGCCTGAAAGCCAGTTCCAGAAGTATTTATGCCAAAAACAGGACTCAAAACTAAAAATAAAAACGAAACCGGAAGAAAGAAACTGCCCAAATAACCTTTGCAAAAATGCGCAGTTCAGGACACACATTTCTTACCAAACTCAAACTTAAAACTCAGGCCTCAAGATAGCTACCTCACAGCCTCGACTCCGCCTTCTCACTGGGATTCCCCAGGCACACCCTGACCCTAGTCCAGCTCTTTGACTAGGGTGAGTAACCTCTTTAGAAAGGAACGACGCTCTCTGTGTCCTAGGTCAATGTGTTCCAAGATACCTGAGGAAAAAAGAGATCAGAGTATTGCCCTCTTGCTAATGAACCAATGGCAAAGCATTAAGACTTCTCAAATCAGTAAAATCAATTAATTACATTCTATTTGAGCTACAGCGTCTGCTCACTGCTGTTTTTTGCCCTTTATATTTTTTGAGATATAATTCACATACCATAAAATGTTCTCTTTTAAAGTGTACAATTCAGTAGTTTTTAGTAGTGCTCACTGCTCCTTAAGTCTAAACTTCAGGCTGAAGAAGGCATAGGAAAGGAAGAAGAACAAGAGGATCTGAATATGATTTAAAAATTAAAAAAAAAAAAGTCTTCCATGGAGAGAAAGGTTTCCAAAGCCCAAGTAAGGGAGATTCTGGTCAAAACCTAAATACTACGTTTCTCTCTTGAAAATCTTTACCATATTGAAAATAGGATTATATTTCTGGATCTAAGGTAGGGATAAGAAGTGGAAGAATATGCAACTGAATTTAGCCACCTATATCTTTGAAAGATTCTAGGTCTTATTATTTTGGAAAATGTGCATGGACCCAGTGCCCTGCTTCCCCAGTCCAGAAAAGATGTATCACACTGCCCTCTAGTAGCCAGCCTAGGAAATGACAGTCAGCTTCCAGCTGAACAGGCTTGGAGGTCTCTGCCCTAAAGGTGTGCTGTGCTCATACATGAAAAGGCAGAGAAATCAGAGGTAGGAGGAATTTATAAATTTTCACCAATGCCCACTAAACACAAAGCTTGCCCAGAATAGAATCTATCTGCTTCCCCTCCACCTCAGTCTCTGCTTGAATACAGGTGATAAATTCTTTTGTTAAGAAAAAAATTGGTGGTTTAAGATTTTCAAAGTATCTGAGCCTCTTAGTCCATTCAGGCTGCTATAACAAAAATACCATAGACAGGATGGCTTAAATAACAAATATTTATTTCTTATAGTTCTAGAAGCTAGGAAGTCCAAGATCAAGGTACCAACAGACTTGGTGTCTGGTGAGGGCCAGCTTCCTGGTTCACAGACAGCCAGCTTCTGGCTGTGCTCTCACATGACCAAAAAAGCAAGAGATCTCTCTGGGGTCTCTTTTATAAGGGCACTAATCCCATTCATGAGGGCTCTACCTGCATGACCTAATCCCCTCCCAAAGGCCCCACCTCCTAATACCATCAACTTGGGAGCTAGTATTTCAACAAATAAATTTTGAGGGGATACAACGTTCAGTCCATAACAGCCTCTTAAGGCGAGTTCTTCCTAAGAAACAGTGTAGGGCCCCACAAAAATGAAGTTAAAACCTGAACCCATGTGGAAATAAAAGCCAGCTGTGTACAACAGATGTGACAATAGACTAGAAGTTTAACATGCTCACCGCCACTCACAGGAAAGGGACTGGCTTTAACATAACTTACGAAAGTATAAACTCAAAAGTAGTAACTTAGAGTAGGATCCAGTGTCCAGAGCCTATATTCCTTGGGGACTTTTTTAAAAATAAGCTTTTTATTTTGGAAAAATTTTAGACTTACAGAAAGTTGTAAAGACAATACAGAGAGTCTCATTACTCTTCACCCAAATTTCTTGACTGTTAACTCACCTAACTACGTTCATTTTTCAAAATTGAGAGATTAACAATCGCATAATTCTATGAACTAAATTCCAGACTTTATTTGGATTTTACCAGTTTCACCACAACGTTCTAACCTTGGGCCTTTTAAAAAAATGTTTGGGACTTCCCTGATGATTCACTGGTTAAGACTCCACGCTTCCAATGCAGGGGGCCCGGGTGCGATCCCTAGTCAGGAAACTCGATCACACATGCCGCAACTAAGAGTTCGCATGCCACAACTAAGGAGCTGGCAAGCTGCAACTAAGACCCGGCACAACCAAATAAATAAATAAAATATTTTTTTAAAAAATGTTTACAGCAAGGCACCAAAGGACCATACAGGCACTGCAGAGCCCAGGAGAACACTGGGTTCTAGTCCCAACTCTGCCACATGTTAACTATAGAACCTTCAAGTTTATTTTGAGCTGTTTCCTCTCTAAAACTACCTTCCTCTCACAAATGCTGAGTCTAGACACAATTTAAGTTTACCCTTCATCTCTCTGCCTAAGCTCTCCTCTGACAGCCACTGACCAATTAGGAAAGAGATATTCCTAACTTGGTAGTGACTTCAGCTGAGACTCTCCAGGTAGAGAATGGAGTCCCTCTGGGATTTTCCACAAAATCCACAAAAGTCTCAAATGCGGGACGGGAGCGGGCGGGCAGACAGCCTTTCTTCAGGATTGCAGCAGAGAGGATCTCTGTCTCAACAACATCCACTTTTCCCCTCTTCCTGGGTGTGCATCACATTTCTCAAGTTCCTTTGCATTAAGGGGCAGCCATGCAACTAAGTTCTAGCTAACAGAATGTGAATGGCTGTGTGCCACTTCTAGAGCTGGCCCACAATATCTATCAAGCAACCCTCCAAGCTCTGCTCAGCTCACCAAAATGGCAATACCCAAAGCAACCCTGGCAGCCATGTTAATGTTGGCATCAGCCTGGTCCCTAAATGACTGCATGGAGTAGAGAATCCCCCTCCCTCTCACCCAATCTGAAACTACCCTGGACATGAGTGAGGAGGGAGGAAAAAAACTTCTATTGTGGTAAGCCAGTCCATTTGGAGAATGTCATAGCACTTTAGCCTACCCCAACTAATACAGGTACTAAATGTCAATTCCATTAGAGCAAGACCTTGCCTCTGGATGTGTGCTTAGAGCCCCAGGCACAAAGAACTGAGTGGATCACATGCCTGAGGTCAGGACACACTATCTCACTCATCCATGCAAGGCCCCTCTTTTGTTTCCCTTTCCCTCCTTCATTCCGCATTCTAGTCCCATTCTGTTCCCTCCCAAGGACACTATTCTAGTAAGTTAAGGTGTAAATTCTCCTTAAAAAATATTTTCTGTGTTCAATTTACTTAGCTAATTTTTGCTATAAATTTCATTATTCCTTATTTTCCTCACCTGGAGTCTATCATGTCCTAACAGCTTGCATCTGACTTTTTTCTAATATTCCATCATATACATATACCACATTTTACTTATCAATTCCTTTAGAAACAGGCTTCTAAGCTGTTTTCAGATTCTCGCTACCCAAGATACATAAAGATAAATATCCATATACGTAACTCCTTGTGGATCTGTGCAAGTTTCTCTGAAGGATAAAGCCAGGAGTGGAAACTGCTTTGAGGTAGGGTATGTACAAACTTAATACATCAGTTACCTATTGCTGCATAACAAATTACTTAAAAACTCAGCAGCTTAAAACAATAACACCCACAGAATGAAAGGAAATACTTGCAAATCATATATCTAATAAGAGACTTGTTACCAGAATATATAAAGAATTCTACATAACAGTGTGTATGTGTGTATGTGTATGACAAATAACCCAACTGAAAAGTGAGCAGGGCTTCCCTGGTGGCACAGTGGTTAAGAGTCCACCTGCCGATGCAGGGGACATGGGTTCGTGCCCCGGTCCAGGAAGATCCCACATGCCGCGAAGCAGCTGGGCCCGTGAGCCGTGGCCACTGAGCCTGCGCGTCCAGAGCCTGTGCTCCGCAACGGGAGAGGCCACAACAGTGAGAGCCGCGCGTACCGCAAAAAAAAAAAAAAAAAAAATGAGCAAAGGATTTGAATAAACATTTCTCCAAAGAAGATAAATAAAGATATTCAACAACATTAGGCATTAGATAAATGCAAATCAAAACCACAATGACATACCACTTCACACTACTAGGAGAGCCATAATCAAGAAGACAGATAATAACAAGTATTAGCGGGAGTTTCCTGGTGGTCCAGTGGTTAGGACTCAGCGCTTTCACTGCCGTGGCCCGGGTTCAATCCCTGGTCGAGGAACTAAGATCCCACAAGCTGCGTGGCATGGCCAAAAACAACAACAAAAACAAGTATCAGCAAGGATGTGGAGAAACTGGAACTCTCATACACTGCTTTGGAAGTTTGGTAGTTCCTCAAAAAGCAAAACATGGAGTTAACCATATGAGTCAGCAATTCTACTCAAAGAAAAATGAAAACATAAGTCCATACAAAAACTTGTACATGAATGTTCATAGCAGCATTAGTCACAATAGCCAAAAAGTGGAAACAACTCAAATATCAACAGATGCATGGATAGATAAAATGTGGTATATCCATACAAGGGAATATTATTCAGCCATTAAAGGGAATGTGGTACTGATACATACTACAACACGGATGAACCTTGAAAACACTACGCTAAGTGAAAAGAGCTAGATACAAAAAGCCATGTATTGTATGATAGTCCCATTCACATATTATATGAAATGTCTAGAACAGGCAAATCTACAGCAACAGAAGGATTAGTAGTTGCCTAGGGCTAGGGGAGCCAGGGCCAAGTGAAGAGTGGCTGCTGATGGATACAAAACTCCCTGTATCCAAAATATTTTTAAATGAATTGTGGTGAAGGTTATACAACTCTGTGATATGCTAAAAACTACTTAAACACGTTAAATGGGTAAACAGTATAGTATGTGAATTATATCTCAAGCTGTTAAAAAATAATAAACACCTCCTCTTATCTCAATTTCTTTGTGTCAAGAATTTGGAGCTGCGTGATTCTGGCTCAGGATCTCTCGTGAGGTTGCAGCCATGTTGTTGATCAGGGCTGCACACATCTAAAGGCTTGAATGGAGCTAAAAGGATCCACTTCCAAGGTAGCTCACTCACAGGGCTGATAAATTGGTGTGTCTACTGGTGAGAGGCCTCAGTCCCTCTCCGCATGGGCCTCTCCAGAGGACCACTTGAGTGTCCTCATGACATAGTAGCGGGCTTCTTCCACAGCAAGTAATTCAAGAGAATACAAGGAAGATGCTTCAATGTCTCTTATGACTCAGCCTCAGAAGTCACACATTTCCAGTACATCCTACCGGTTACACAGGTCAGCCCTATTCACTGTAGGAGGGGACTACACGAGGGCTTAAATACCAGGAGTCAGGGATCATTGGGGCCACACTGGAAGCTGGCTATCAACACTTGATATTACGAAGACAATGATAACAACAGCTAATAATTTTGTGACATGTACTATGTGCCTGGCACTGTTCTAGGCTCACAATAAACCTGTGAGGTGGGTAATATTATCTCCATTTCAAAGATGAAGAAACTAAAACACAGAGAAGTTAAGTGGCTTATCAAGGTCACATAGTAAAAGACATACCTGAGATTCAAACTCAGACAATATTCTCTCAAAAATTCTGCAATACTACATCCCAGATATTACTTATTTTCAATTAAGTTTTGCCCATTTGTTCTCCAGAATGGATGCACCAGTTGAAACTTCCCATGAGTTTTCATTCCCCATGAGAATTCAGTCTCTTCCTTATTTTTGCTAATAGATACAAAGTAGAAACTCATTAATGTTTTGATCTCTATTTCTCTAATTACTAGTAGTAATATACTTATTACCCATTCTGGTTTTCCCTTTAGATTTTACATATTCATATTCTTTGCCTATTTTTATTTTGTGTTTTGTATTTCTTTCCTATTTGTAGTAGTTCCTTCTACATTCAATCTCTTATAAATGTATTCCTTTATCAGTTTTAGACATTGGAAATATTTTCTCCTAATCTATACCCATTTTTAACTTTGATTATGGGGTGCTTTGTTGACTAGAAGTCTTTAATTATGATGTAGGCAAAGCTATCAAACCTTACGGATTGTGATTTGGAGATCTAATTTAACGAATTTATCCTCACCCCAAGGTCACAAAGACATTCCCCATTTTTTCTAATTGGCTGTAGCATTTTACCTTTCATTTAGGTAAAATCACTTTGGGATTTGTCTTTGCCTTATGTGGTTTAAGGCAGGGATCCAACCTTATTTGTGTCCATATAATAAGCCAATCTTCCGAGCACCATTATCTATCTCTTCCCCACTAATTTGTGACACTACCTTTACCAGACACCATGTCTCCAAACTGCCATGTCTATTCCTAAGTCTAGTTTAGCAATAATTCTTATTTTCTAAGAGGAAGGAGCTATCACTGTGAAAGTTTGTACTCATCCTGCTTCCTAGATGAATGAGAAATCCAGCTATCACCCTCCAAGATCCCTGGGGGTTCAGTATTAGCTTGTATTCTTCCCCAAAACAGAATATCCGTTTAAGAAAATTATTTTAAAAAAATAAATGTGTGTTTATTAAAAAGGGAAAACCCTAACCAAGAACAAACCCTGGGACACAGAGAAATCAACGCTTCCTCTGAAAGCCAGCAATAGGCAGTGTCGGCACACCTGAGAAGTACAGGTCCTTCAGTCCAAACATTACGTCTCAAATATTCTTCTGTAGTCAAAACTGGCATCCAACAAGTCGCTGGTCTGTGTGGGCCCTGATTATGAGCACAGATGACTGTTGCAGCTGGACGTCTGTCCACCCAGTGTCCACCACCACAACCCACAGCCACCCCCACTGCCTCAGAAAAGTTACATATCCTCAACACTCCACTTGTAGGCAAGTTCCTCCACCGCCTTCTTGCTGGCAAGCCTGGCAAAGCGCTTCTGTTCAAATCCATTGGATCTGCAATCAAGAAATACTCATCAGCCAGAATCCTGAACTGAACATTGATTTTTGAAAAAAGAGTTCACAATCTAATGAGCAAAAAGGAAAGTAAAGGCAATCATGTGAAAATATTTAAGACATAAGCAACAGAATCAGAAAGACAGAATAATCCACCCTCTTATTAGTCCATGTTCAGTTCTTTCTCAAACTCTTTTGACAAC